AGGCCCGAAACGTCAGCCTTCCTGTTCCTCTGATGCTGCTTGGCCTGCTGTGTTCATCCAGCTCTACAGTGGCTTTTGACACCCCCGAAAAAAGGTGTGGTTCAGTCTCAGAAGCTTATTACAACCAAGGGTTATACCCATAAGTGCAAGGAGGATTTGAGGAAAAATAATGTTCACCCAGAGGCTTGTGGGGGTTTGGAATACACTGCCTGGAAGGGTAGTTGAGGCAGGAAACCTCACAACCTTTTAAAAAGTACTTGGATGAGAACTTGAAATGTCATAATGTACCAACCACCTTACTAAGAGCTGAAATAAACTCTGCTGTCCGTATTCAGAAACAACCCCCATCTTCTCAGTGGAGAGCTCTTGAGATGTTCCCTGGCAACAGCCATTGAAGTAGTTTTTGAATACTATTGTGGAAGGAGATTGTTATGGGCTTTTGGGCTCCTGTTTTAGCAGATTGGAAGGAGCTGGGGTTTGCATTTGTTTAATTTCCCTATTTTCTTTACCCAGTACCATCCCTACAGGAATCGAGAGTGTGTGTTGCAGTTGGACATCTCTCTCTCCTATTCTCAGTCTAGTGAGTGTAGATTTTGGGTATCGCTAACCAATGAGCACAGAAGAAGACCATTTGGCCCATTGTACCTGTTCCAGCTCTTCTGAAGAACTATTAGTTAGTTGCATTCCTGCACATCCTTTCACCATTACCTTGCAAGTACTTCTCCAGTTCCCTTTTGATAGCTTCTACTGAATTTCATTCCATTGCCCTTTGCGCGTTCCAGGTGATAGCAAGTTGCAAACAGTTGTTTAATCTTAATCCAGTCATTAAACCTACAAGGAATGGAAGATATGAAGTTTAGAATGAAACAATTTAATAGAAAAAGTACTGTACAGGTGGTGTGTACTTACAATGCAATTGATTTCAAGTAGATCATTTCAAAGGACAGCATTGAGAAAGCTGTTTCAGAGTTGCAGTATGCAGTGAGTCCAACTTTGTCAAAGTCCCCCAGCAACTCCCCCACCCATCTCTGAAACTCAGGTGAGGTGACAGAACTGTGAACATAGCTAGTTACTCACTGTGCTGTTTCAATGTAGGAGTCGTAGATTGGTTTAAAGTCACTGAAGTTAAACCGTGGTTTGGGATCACTGTAGCAGTGAGTCACACTAGAACAGGACTAGTTTTGTTTTAGTTTTGCCTTCCCCTAAGGATAGTAGCAAAGAGGGTTTTTTTTTGGCAGTGGTACTGTGGAGGAAGTGTAGGGGGTGAGAGAGGGAGAGAATCACAATATTTCTCCATTGGGAGTATGAGGCAACCTTGGTGTGATATTTCTGCCTGTCAGCCCTGCTGTGATGGGAAGACTCAATGAGTGAGCACTGGCATTTGCTGTGATCAGAATAATCTTTCTCTTACCCCCTCCAAGGTGCAGAGGGAGGCAACGTGACTCCAGTGGGGGCAGCACCAGCTTCAAATTTTCCGCTGTCATGGTGAGGTGGGCAGTGAGCTGTGAGAAATGGGCACATGAAGACCACCGACCTGAGCGGTGGTAACACTCTGAGATAAAACGTCTTTGTGTTTGATTCGCACTGCAGAGACCCAAGCCCTGTGCTGCTCTCCTTGCTGCTTCTGCGGTTTGTCTATTTGGGAGGTTAAACCAAAAACCCTTGTCTGCCCTCTCGGCGAGGGGAGTGAGGAGCCTTGTATCTGACAGCAAGAATTTGCTGAGGAGCATTCTGCCTGGTGTCCTGGTCAATGATTATTCTTAAGTGCAATGATCTGTTTGTGGTATCTTGTCCTTGCAAATTGACTTCCGCCTGGCCCTCCATAAAACCAGCGACTGTAATTTTAAAAGTGCTTTGTTGGTCATAATGTACTTTATGATGTCCTGAGGTTGTGAAAGATGATGTAAGACTGCATGATCTTTCTTTAATGGTTTTATTCCATACGTGTTAGTGTGTGTTTTAGTGTTTGTGGGTGATTTTGTGTGTGTGTGTTACTGTACTTTGGAGTGTATGTGTGTGTTAGTTTTTTTTAATTTCAAAAATATACTTTATTCATAAAAGATATCTTTATATATGCATTGTTGCAGAGGCAGTTTGGTTCTGTACAGTAGCGTATCAAGGAAACAAACAAACATTGAAATTTGACTATCCAAACAAACCAAAGGCATCTCTAACTTGAACCAGACTATATTTACATGCATTTGAGGGAACAGGAGGGTCCAAGAACTGAACAGACCGCCATTTAATTTCAGCAGGAAAACCTCAAAGAATGGTCTTTACCCACTGCGTCCCGGTGGCAGCTGCCCCAAACATTAGTGTATCCCTCAGCACGTAGTCCTGAATCTTGGAATGTGCCAGTCTGCAAACTCATTCAGGGTCAACTCCTTGCTCTGGAACACCAACAATTTTCGGACAGACCAAAGAGCGTCTTTCACCGAGTTGATGGTCCTCCAGGCGCAGTGGATGTTAGTGTACGTGTGCGTGAGGTTTGGCATTGATTTGTTCTCTTGTTTCCTTTTCAGTCTTTTCAAGGGAGCCAAGGTCGTGCTTACCTGTTCAACTCAGTGTGAGTATCACAGGACAAAGCCAGATCAGGTAGCTCCTTTCTTCCTCCCTCGCCTGTCCAGTTTTTAAAAAGCCTCCATTCCCTATCCCTCCCATTCTCACTGTCCTTGCGTCACTCTCTACAATATCTGCCCAGTCCTTTCCTCCTGTTTCTTTTCTTTGTTGACTGCTCATTATGTACAGTACCACACTTAAGAAGTACCTCATTGGTTGCAAAGGTCATGAAAGGGTGCCAAAATGCAACTCCTCCCTTTATATGGCACTACTGAAACTGGCTGTTTCACCAGTTTGACCATGCACCCTTCCTATGCCATGTTACACTGACGGACTGATCAAGACAGATTAATAGCTTACCTAATAAAAAGAAAAAGTGCTGGGGAAAGCCAGCAGGTTTGACAGCATTTGTGGAGAGAGAAACAGTTAACATTTTGAGTCTAACCTGATGCTCCCAGATTTACTGAATTTCTCTAGCGATTCCTGTTTTTATATCAGATCTCCAGCATCCATAGTACTTCACTTTAATTTTAGTTTGATACGTAGATCTATACCTCCCATCTTCTTATTCTCTTGTCCTGTCTCATTGTTTAGAGTTATAGAGTCATACCGCTTGGAAACAGGCCCTTTGGCCCAAACTGGTCCATGCTGACCACAATGCCCACTCAGCTAGTTCCAATTGCCCGCATTTGGTCTCTATCCCTCTTAAACCCTTCCCATCCATGTACCTATCCAAATGTTTTTTGAATGTTGCTGTTGTACCTACCTCAACTACTTTCTCTGGCAGCCCATTCCATATATGCAACACTCTCTGCGTGAAGAAGTTGCCCCTCAGGTCCTTCTTAAATCTTTCCCCTCTCACCTTTAAACCTATGCCCTCTAGTTTTCAATTCTCCGTCGTTGGGAAAAAGACTATATGCATTCATCCTATCTATGCCCCTCATTTTATACACCTCAATAAGGTCACCCCTCATTCTCCCTCGTTCCAAGGAATAAAGTCCTATCCTGGCCAACCTCTCCCTATAACGCAGGCCTACTAGTCCTGGCATCATCCTCATAAATCTTCTTTGCAAACTTTGCAGTTTAACAATGTCTTTCTGTAGCAGGGTGACCAAAACTGTACACAATACTCCAAGTGCAGCCTCACCAACAACTTACACAACTGTAACATATCGTCCCACTCCTATACTCAGTGCCTCGATCGATGAAGGCCAGCATGCTAAATGCCTTCTTCACCACCCTGTCTGCCTGTGACACCGCTTTCAACGAACTATGTACTTGTATTCCTAGGTCCCTCTGTCCCACAACACTCCTCAGGGCCTTACCATTTACTGTATAAGTCCTTCCTTGGTTTGCCTTCCCAAAGTGCAACACCTCACTCTTATTGAATGCATTTGCCAATCCTCAGCCCACCTCCCCATCTGTTCAAGATCCCTGTGTAATTTTTGATAACCTTCCTCGCTATCAATGATACCTCCTAATTTTGTATCATCCACAAATTTACTAATCATGCCTTGTACATCCACATCCAGATCATTTATTTCAATAACAAATAACAAAGATACCAGCACGCCACTAGTCACAGGCCTCCAGTCCAAGAAATAACCTTCAACCATCACCCTTGCTTCTTACTATCCAGCCAATTTTGAATCCAATTTACTAACTCTCCCTGGATCCCACGCAACCTAACTTCATGACTAGCCTGCCATTTGGGACCTTGACAAAGGCTTTAATAAAGTCCTTTTAGACAACATCCACTGCCCAACCTCCATCTATCCTCTTGGTTACCTCCTCAAAAAAATTCTAAAGGATTTGTCAGACATGACGTCCCGCACACAAATCCATGCTGACTAACCCTAATCAGACCTTGACTATTCAAATGTTGCTTGATCCTGACCCTCCGTATCCTCTCCAATAACTTGCCTACCACTGATGTCAGGCTCACTGGCCTTTAGTTCCCTGTGAGTCAGGTCAGTGGAGGATTCAGTAAAAACCTGGTCTGGATTATCCATTACCACCATATTCCTGGACGTACTTCAAGCCGAAGGCTGTAACTGTCTTAATGAGAGATCATATTGTAGCACAGCAGTATCCCTGCCTGATGTCTAAACTCAGTTCCATTTACTGGACATGTGGATATTGCTGGTAAGTCCAGCATTTAATACCCATCCCTAATTGCCTTTAAGAGAGTTGTTAAGTTGATTTCTTGAACCACTGCAGCCCATGGGCTGTAGGTTCACCCACACTTCTGTTATGGGAAGAGTTCCAGGATTTTGACCCAGTCACAATGAAGAAACACTATTATATTTTCAAGTCAGGATGGTGAGTAGCTTGCGGGGCAATTTGCAGCTGGTGGTTTTCCCATCTATCTGCTGCCCTTGTTCTTTTAGCTGATCAAGGTCATAGGGTTGGATGGTGCTGTTGACGGAGTCTGGATGAGTTGCTGCAGTCCATCTTGTAGATGGTACACACTGCTGCCACAGTGCATCAGTGGTGGAGGGAGTGAATGTTGAAGGTGGTGGGTAAGGTGCCAATCAGATGGGCTGCTTTGCCCTGTTAGTGTTGAGTTTTTTGAGGTAACATCACCCAATGCTGGAGGATGGTAAGTAAGGACATGTTGGAGGGTAATTATTCTTCGGTAAAGGCCGTTGCCTTAGAACTAGTTGCTGTTATTTGCCGGAGCGAGTCAGTAAACTCAGTTCTTTAAGTATTGTAATTTGTCAAAATCTTTTTCCATTCACTGTCACCCGGTTATAGATTTTGGAAAGCGGGACAGTTTCTAATTCGCCAACCATCTCAAACTCCTGTCACAGACTCTGAGGTGAAGATTGAGAAAAGGTTCTTCTTAGCCTCACCTTGACCCAATACCCCCACCCTCTTGTCATTATTGTCCCCACTGCCATCCAGCCCTGGTACTAGAGCTTCTAGCTAGTTCCTTGCTGTTACCATTGGTGTCACTGTGAGGTCTGCATGTATTTGCCACACAGAGTAACAGTCAATTCCAGAGGCCAGTCTTTTGCATGATTACAGGGAGTCATAAGGTCACTTTGTCCCATTTCTCCTTCCAGGGCTGCAGTTCTGAGGAACATTGGATTTGCCTTTATCAGTCTGTTGGCCATTCTGTCAGTTTAAACTCCTCACCTTCTCTCTCACACCTCTCCCTCCTCCTCTCACTCTCTCTCTCTTTCTTTCTCCTCCTTTCTGCTATACCACCCTCGCTCCCTTCTCTGCCTGTCTTCCTCCCTCCCCCTCCCCCTTGCTCTTTTCCCTCTCCCTGAATTCTGTTCTCTCTCCCTCTCTCTTTTTTCCACCGTCTTTCTCTCCCTCTCTTCCCTGCTCACCCTGTTTTCCCCTCTCTCTTTCTTACTTCCTTTCTCTCTTTCTTTCCTTCTCTCTCTCTCCCTCTCTCTCCCCCTCCCCCTCTTCCCCTTCTTTCTCTGTCTGTCTCTTTCTCCCTGTCTCTCTGTCTTCCCCTTCTCTCCCTGCCCCGTCCACAGGCAATATGGTCTTTTTTTACCCCTCTGATTTGCTTTGTATCACTCAGCACATGCAGTGATTGAAGCTGTGGCCTCGTGCTCTCTCGTTAGCCTCCGGCTGCCCGTGGAGCCCTGTTTGAGATATTTTCAGTTTTAGCCTTCATTACGTGTACCTCTCCATACGCTGCCTGGTTCACTAAAGGCTGGGTTCTGCCTCTTCTCTGACTCCTCCTCTCTAATATTATTTCAACTATTTTGGAGCTTTCTTATCTCTCCATGACTGTAACGTAGGAACAGGAGTAGGCCATTCAACCCCTCAAGTCTTTATTTTTAGACAGTCGGGTCAACAACTTGCATTTATATAACATTGTCAACATTTTCCTCATTGCCAGAGTGTTAATACTTCACAAGTAGTGAAATTTGGCTGTAAAGTGCTTTGAGATGTGCTGAGGTAGTGACAGGTGCCACAGAAATGTGCATTCTGTGTTTATTTTCCATGTTTAAGTGCTGGTGTTGTCTGAAATTTCTTTGCAGAGTCAATGTGGGCTGTGGACCAGCGGAGGAGCGGGTTTTACTTACTGGCCTGCATGCAGTGGCCGACATTTACTGTGAAAACTGCAAAACCACACTGGGCTGGAAATATGTAAGTTGGTGGCTGTGTGTGTTGCTGTGTGTTTGGGTATCTCCTATATATGGATATCTCCTTGTATATCTGTCTGTGTGCCTTTTTTTTATTCATTCACGTGATGAGGGCGTCGCTGGCTAGGCAGCATTTATTGCCCAGAGGGCAGTTAAGAGTCAACCACATTGCTGTGGGTCTGGAGTCACATGTAGGCCAGCCTAGGTAAGGATAGCAGTTCCTTCCCTAAAGGACATCAGTGAACCAGATGGGTTTTTCTGACAATCAGCAATGGATTCATGGTCATCATTAGATTCTTAATTCCAGATATTTTATTGAATTCAAATTCCACCATCTGCCATGGCGGGATTCGAACCCAGGTCCCCAGAACTTTATCTGGGTCTCTGGATTAACAGTCCAGCAATAATACCACTAGGCCATTACCTCCCCCTCTCTTGTGTGTCTTTTTGTTTCCTGCAGTTTGTAGTTTTTGTACGTGTGTGCATATTTGTTAAATTTTGTTTGTTAACACCTGAAATGTTTTACTACGTTTAAAAGCACTACATAAATGTTATTTTTATGTGACATTATTACCCAGTGATTGACAATTCACCTCCTCCCACCCGCAGCCAACATATAAAACTGCATATATCTATGTGTCCTCAGTCATGACACTGGAATTCTCCGTCAGGCAGACTCCATTATATTTGCATTGAAATATAGGAAATAGGAGCAGGAGTAAACCATTGCGCCCTTCAAACCTCCTAAGCCATTAATATCCTCTCCATCAATCTCATATCCCCTGAAGTATTTAATATCTTGGAACCTCTCGATATCTGTCTCGATCCTAATCAGTGACTGACCCTCTAAAGTCCTCTGGGGTAGAGAATTCCAAAGGTTCACCACCTTCTAAGTGAAAAGATTCCTCCTCATTTCAGTCCTCGATGGCGTCCTCCTTATTCCAAGACTCTGTCCCCTGGGTGTAGACAGCAACATCCCCATGATCACCTCAAAACAAGAATACTTCTCTGAACGAGAGAGAATGCAGACCTAATCTCCTCAATCCAGGACACTGCAGGGATGGGATCTGTCTGCTGAACTTACACTGAACTGCACCTAAGCAAAAACAGAATGTGAAGTGATTCTAGGCCTCAAACCATAAGTGAATGTAAAGATGAACGCTTGCGGTCAAACACTTGTAATTACCTTTGCAAAGTGATAATAGCAAAAACACAATACTCCCCACACCTGTGGGGTGTCCTGTTTAATTGAAAGTAACTCTTACTCAGCTTCTTAAGCTCTAATGTCTGAACCCTGTTCTGACCTGGCCTTGCAGCACTTGAAAAACCTGATTGTTAGGTTATTTTCTTTATTTTCATTATTTTCTTTTCCTTTCACAACCAGAGGGCAGATAATTTTAAAATATTTATAAGATGTAGTTATTGCTAGCTGGGCAGCATTTCTTGCCCGTCCCTAGTTGCCCTCAAGAAGGTGATGGTAAGCTACCGTCTTGAACTACTGCAGTCCACGTGCTATAGGTAGACTCACAATGCCCTCATGAAGGGAATTTCAGGATTTTGACCAAGTGACACTGAAGGAACAGCAATATATTTGCAAGTCAGGATGGTGAGTGACTTGGAGGAGAATTTGCAGGTGATGGTGTTCCCATGTATCTGCTGCCCTGTCCTTCTAGATTCTTCTTTACATTAAATAATCCATACTGCGCACCCAGGACTAAGGACTTTCCAACACAGTGGGTATGATGTGTTCATTTGAATATTGGGTTGTAGTAAGAGGTGCGCTAAGTCCAATTTAGACAATCTAACTCAAAACAAACAGGGAATCCAGTCTGGATTCTGTCAGCCTGAAAAGGAGACACTGTTTCTGATACATTAAGATTAGACTTGAGGCTTGTTCCTTGGGTGATGCTGATCTCCCTGTGCCCCATATTGTCCTATGTACACTCCCTTACTGCCTGTTCTCACCTCTGTAACCTTTGCCTCATTCTGTCCCTGCTTCAGCCCATCAAGTGATAAAATCGTCAACCCACATTTTGTTAGATCCCCAACCCAACTATAAGGCCCGAGCTCAAGCTAAACCCCCTTTGCCTGTGTGCTAATAAAGCATCAAGTCCTATTCACCTATTGTGCTTGTATTCTGTACTATATTGGCCCCTAGTCCAATAGCCCTTCGATTCTAAAAGTTCTTACTGCTCTTTTTGAATCCCTCAACGATTGCCCTGATGTTGTACTCCGCCTCATCGCTGTAAAGTCATCCAGTCTCAACACTCTCTCTCAGAAATCAGCGTTCTTCCAATTCCAATTGCACACCACTGATTTTAATTTTTCCACCATTGGCTGTTTCAGCTTTAAAATTCCTTCTTCAAACATCTTCACGTCCTTTAACCCCCCCTTTATGATACTTCCTAAAACCTACCTCTTGGACTGATGTTTTCACCACCAATCTGAATATAGGAATGAATGAGCAGGAGGAGGCCATTCATCCTATCAAACCCTGCACCACCTTTCCATAAGATCATGGCTACTCTGGTTGTGATCTCAACTCCACCCTCTGGTCTATGTCCCCCATGAGTCATTGAAAATCTAAATAATTCAGCCTTGAATACTTTTCAAGACCCAATTTCCACTACATCCTGGGGAAGCGAATTCCACGATCTGTTGATCCTCTGTTAGAAAACACTTCTCATCCTGATCTTAAAAGGGACACCTCTTATTCTTAAACTGTGTCACCTAGTTCTAGTCTCCCCGACGACATAGAAGATGGGAGCAGGTGGTCTGGTTGATCATCGAGCTCAATATCCTAATCCTAATCCTAATCCTGCCCTCCCCCACAGCCCTTCATCCTTTCATCCACAAGAGCATCTACCTCTTCCTTGAAAACACATGATGTTTTGACCTCAACCTGTGGTAGTGAATTCCACAGGCTCAATGTCTCTGGGTGCAGATGTTTCTCCTCATCTCAGTCTTAAAAGGTTTACTCCTTCTTCTTAAGCTACGACCCCAGGTTCTGAACTCCTCCACCATCAGGAATATCTAACTTGTCTAGTAATTTTAGAATTATATAGGTTACCGTGAGATCTCCCCTCATTCTTCTAAATTCCTGTGAATATAATCCTAACCTATTCAATCATTATTCATGTGCTAGTCCTGCCAACCAAGGAATCAGTCTGGTAAACCTTCACTGCACTCCCTCTATAGCAAGAATATCATCCCTCAGACAGGGAGACCAAATTGACCTCACCAGTGTCCTGTATAAGTGAATGAAGTCATCCTTGCTCATGTCCTCAAAGAGGATTCACAAGAGGAAATATCCTCTGAGTATCCACCATATCTATTCCCCCCGCTCCCGCACCGTTCAGAACTCTAGTGGACGTAGGCCGTGTTCAACTTTTCCTGTTACAATAACCCATGGTCACAGGAATATCTCATGTGCCTCGAAGTCAAGTTTTGTTTGATAGCACCTCCTCTGAAGCGCCTTTGGACACAAGTGCCACAGTCAAGGTGCCACATGAATGCAAGTTGAGGTTGTTATTGCTGTTGAACTCAGTGCTGCTGTTTGTCCACAGGAACACGCCTTTGAGAGCAGTCAGAAGTACAAAGAAGGAAAGTACATTATAGAACTTGCGCATATGATTAAGGACAATGGCTGGGAGTGAACACAAAGTCCTGCTGGAGCTGATCACTGGGCTGTTTATCCTGGAAAAAGAGGAGTAACTGAAGGCTTTGGTTGTACATGTTGTGGCGGGAAGCTGAGCTGCTGATGCTCCACCTCCCAGCCACCCTCCTCTGCATTTCTCTTCCTTTTATTGTCATTTATCTTCTATTGTCTTTTCGTTTCACCTCCTGCAGTCAGACATCTCCTGGCTCCTGCTCTCCACCATTGTCGTTGCGGCTGAACTACTGCACCAAAGCTCGGGGATATTGAATTTGCTTTTTTTATTGAAATTTCCCTTCCATCGGTTAACCTGACAAACTGTTCTAGTGACGTGACGTTTACTGGAGAATAGTGTAGTTCAGGATGATGGGGAGGTGAAAGGGGGCAACTCGTGGTGTTTCAGAGTAAATGCAGGCGGAAAGCTCAAAGTTGAGGCCATGTTACTTGGCGGTAGCTGGTGCTTCCACGTGTCTCCATGCCCCATCTGTTTGGCTGGTCAAGAGGCAGACTGTCACCAAAAACAAGTACCTGGAACCCAGTCGGTCATTTGGCTGACGGAAGGATAAAGACACTTCCCTCCACAAGCAGGCAGGGCCTGTAGGTGATGCATGTTCCCTTCCCAGAGGAAGGAAATCGGCCTCTTACCAGCTTGCCCACTGTGAGCCAATGTCTAGCCCTACCCTGGCATCTGGCGTGACCCACACAGGTGGCTTTGCATTCAGTTTGGACGCAGTCTTGCACTGGGAGTGGGTGGGGCTTCTCCTGCCCCCTTCATCCCAGTTTCCTTGATCGCTCCCAGCTGCCTCATTGTCACGTTATTTTAAAAATATCACTCCAATGGGATGCACCAATCCAACTAAAAAGCTGATAGGTTCTCTGGAAGCTTATCTATGTGAAAGGGTGCCTTCCCAACAAAGTTGGTGGTGAATTATTGGTTTCTCCAGGATGCTCCATCCCCTGCAGTGCCCCCAGTCAGACAAAGAATAACTGGAAGTGCAGCTTCTCGTCACCTGAATCTATTTCAACAGGTTCCTTTCAAATGATGATGATTCAAGGTGCCTGGAAATGGGTCAGTTTTGAGAGGGAGTGATGGATCAGCTGATTGTAGCTCAGCATTAACCTTTGTGGGCGTGTTGCCAGTGTTTTTGTCTGCAGACAAGAGACGGGCAAAGACAGAATGAGCGACAAATGGCAAAATGGTGTCCCTTTGATAGCCTGCCAGGGCTCATTGGGAAAGTGCAGTTGAGCTTCTGTTACAGACCAGGCAGAGTGAACAGTATCACTTCGAGTCTGTGAGGTAAGGTGAGGACAAAACCTCCTTCCGACGGACAGTGGGTTTGGGGACTGGAGGGGTGAGGGTTACCCAAACCCACAAAGCACAGCTCCCCAGCTGAGATTTCATTTCTAAAGCTGTCAGCAAAGGAGAAGCAATCCTAGTTGCCAGGGTGGTCATGTGAATGACAAATGACAAAACTGGTCCCACCTAATTACTTGATAGGGGTGAGGGAGGGAGAAGATATGTTTTTCAGACATGGTTACAGTCCCTGGGGTCAGTGGGGTGAGGAGACTGTTCCATCAGTGAGTGGGAAATACTGTAAAAATGTCAGAGACTGTTGTTTGCCAATCTAAAGTTGTACATAGCTCTTCTTAGACCCCATTTAGAAAAGGGGACTCATTTCCAGACACTGCACCCTCAGAAAGAACGTATTTAGAGTCATACAGCATAGAAGCAGACCTTTTAGTCCAACTCGTCCATGCTGACCAGGATTCCTAAACTGAACTAGTCTCTCATTTGCCTGCGTTTTATATTGGAGGAGGTGCAGCAGAGTTTCATTAATAAGACCCAGGGCCTGAAAGAGTCAAATTATAAGGGACAATTACTCAGACTCGAGCATCCCTTCGTACGTACAAGATTAAAGAGTGATCTAATTTAGATATTAGGATGATTAAAGGGTAGAAAGATAGAGACTATATTCTCTGGTAAGGGAAGTTCAGAACAAGGGGCAACACCTTAACAACTTGAAGCGAGACCATTCAGAAAATGAATGCTGTTGTGAAGGCCTTCAAGGGGTCTTGGAATTCTGGAACTCTGCACAAAAATGCTGTGAGGATCAAGGGAAAATTTCAGACTGAGCTTTATAGAGTTTTTTTTTCCCCTCAGGCAACAGTGTCCGGGAATGTTGGATCAGGGCAGGTAGATGAATTAAACAAATCGGCTGTGATCTAAGTGAATAATGGAATGAGCTCAAGGGGCTGAATGGCCTCCTTCTGTTCCTATTTACCTACTTGACATATTAGTAACCAGACATGACATGTTTCCATTGCTGTGTGCCCCGAGGCTGAGACAGGAGGGAGCTCTGAACCTCGTGATGGAACCTTTTATTTTGATTCAGTAAAGTCCGATAAATATTCAGGAATGATCTTGGGTCAGCTCAGCAGGTTGCCTCCAGCCTTTAAATTAACCCCCAGTCCTCCCAGCCCCTGTTTCTGGGGTAAGCGTATTTGCATCCTGCTGGCTGTTACAAAGAGCCCACATGCCATATTTTTCGACAAGTCACACTTTTCAGCTTTCTTCACTTCTCTATTTTTGCAGCGATACAGAGGCTGCAGCAACTTTCTACAACATACGCCCAGAGTGTAACCAAAACGTAGGGTTGGGTATCGCTGCTGAAATCCCTGGCACCAGCAAGCAGACCACTGGGCTTTTATGAGTCAACAGGGCAGCCAGTCAAACAAATGTGTTCAAATATCGACCAAAGCACCTCTCCATTTGCACAGTCTCATGAGCCAGGTAGCAAGTCCAGCCATAGTTATCAGCCGTGAACTGTCACTGGACTGTGTTTAATTGGTACAGAGATCTCCCTTTTATGTGTCAGTCGTGTGGTTAATCTGAAGCCTTCATCTAATGTATCTAATGTTTGGAGTTTGGCTTTTAAAAAAAGCTACATCCAAACACAAGTCCAGTTTGGGAGGATAACTCCTGTTGTCTGATCATTTTGTGGGACTTTCTCACATCTTGCTGGTGGTTGGATTGTGAAGACTTCACATGGATTCCTCCAATATCCCAGCGATAACACTGTCGCCCAAGGCTCACAGGGTATCATAAATATCGTTGTCCAAAAATGCCTTTTGGTCCCCACTCAAGGCAGGCCTGCAGTGAATAAGATCCTGGAGCAGAAGGACCAAGTGCACCAGTGTGGCTGACCAACACGGTCTGTGTAGATGCTTGTAGAGAGAGAGTAAATAGGACGTTGCATTACGGGTTAGTGGCTATATCGTGAACACGGTGGCTGACTTGTTACCATGGGTTTGTGTCCTCCCTCGCATGGAATATAATATGTCCAAAGCAACGTCACAGAGCCTCTTGGTTGGGTGGCCTGTTGTACATCCAACAAGCCCTTTGGTTCAAGCAGCCAATTAGCCTTTGTTTTGTTGCGGCCAAAGCTAGCTTCTAATTGGATTTCGCTTTGATCTGAAGTAATCATTGGCGATCACTGCCAATTCCCTGATAAGTCATATTGCCTCTTGCGATTGGCTAAAAGATGTACACTTTGCTAGATCATCTCCTTAAGTGATAATGTACTGTCCCCCTATTTAAACAACAAATTGGTAATATATACAGAATTTGTCTTATATTGTGTACTCTTGTAAATATTCGTATTTAAAAGAATTTTTTATAATATATATATTCAACAATGTCTGACCCATATCTTTGAGCATTTTTTCCTGCTTTGTATTAATTTATGCTGAAATATTTTCTTTACATTTTAAGGTATTTTTGTTTCATCTCAGTTTGTCAAGGGGAGAGATGCAACAATTCTTGTTGTTTACATTTTGTATTCTGCTGTATTAAGCCAGGGTGCTACATTGATCTGAGTTAGCAGATACTGTAAAGTAACACCCTTTCTCAAGGTAGCATTGGGTCAATAAAACCACTCTTTTTGGGGTCAGATAGTCACAGCTACCTAATCTTGCTATTGCCGATTTAAGGTAATTTGCAAAAGAGTCAACAGTTACCTCAAGAAAAGTTTTTTTTTGTTTAAACACAGCAAGGAGTTAGGATCTAGAATGCGCTGCCTATGAATGTGGTGGAGGTAGATCCAATTGTGGCTTTCAGAAGAGAATCGGATCATTATCTGAAAGAGGAAAAACATTGCAAGGCAGGAGATTGGCGCTAGGTGAAATTGTCTTGCAGAGAACAGGCACAGACATCACAGGATGAAGGGCCTCCATCTGTAATGTAGCTATTCTGTGATTCATTCTACAATTGCATTTCTCACATGAGCCAGTCCAATTCTAGGAACATGGAAATAGGAGGAGAACTAGACCATTTGACTCTTCAAACTAGCAACCCCACTCAGTAAGATAATTGGCTTCTATCTCATTCCATTTTCCTATGCTATCCCCCATCACTTTATTTCTCTAATATCTAGATATTAATCAGTCTCAATCTAAGAGAGAAGGTTAAGAGGTGACTTAATAGAGACATACAAGATGATCAGAGGATTAGATAGGATGGACAGTGAGAGCCTTTTTCCTCGGATGGTGATGGCCAGCACGAGGGGACATAGCTTTAAATTGAGGGGTGATAGATATAGGACAGATGTCAGAGGTGGGTTCTTTACTCAGAGTAGTAAGGGTGTGGAATGCCCTGCCTGCAACAGTAGTAGACTCGCCAACTTTAAGGGCATTTAAATGGTCATTGGATAAACATATGGATGATAATGGAATAGTGTAGGTTAGATGGGCTTCAGATTGGTTTCACAGGTCGGCGCAACATCGAGGGCCGAAGGGCCTGTACTGCGCTGTCATGTTCTGTGTTCTAAACATGCTCAACTGTTGAGCTTTCACAGCACTCGCACAGAGAATGAAGAAATTCCTCTTCATCTCAGTCTCAAATGACTTACCTTTATTTCAAAAATATGCTTTATTCATAAAAATATCTTTACGTACATAGTCACTAGGGCAGTTCAATTCCACACACAGTATTTAGATATGTAGGACAAACAAGCCCAAGGTGTTTCTTACTTATACGTAAGTTTACAGAAATTATTTACAAAAGTTTGAGGCACCAGGAGGGTCTGATAACTGAATAGACCCCCATTTAACTTTGGCAGAGAAACCTCAGGTGGTGGTCTTTCCCCACTTTACCTTGGCGGTAGCTGCCCCAAGCTTTAGTGTGTCCCTCAACACAGTCCTGGACCTTGGAATGTGCCAGTTTGCAACATTTGTTTGAGGTCAATTCCTTGCATGTTATGGGCAGACCAAAGAGTGTCTTTCACTGAATTGATGGTCCTTCATGCACAGTCGATGTTTGTCTCAGTGTGCATGCAGGCGAACAGATCTTAGAGCACAGAGTCCTGCATCACAAAGCTGCTCAGGATGAACATCAACAAAAACTACTGCATCTCTCTTCATACACCCTTTATTCTGATACTGAATGCCTTGTGGGGTTTAGACATGCTCTGCAAAGGGAAGCATCCTTCTTGCATCTATCCTGAGAAGCCCTCTAAGCATCAATGAGATCACTTGTCTATCACTTCTGGATTTTAGCTTGTGTTCCTCAATCTGTCCTCATAAAACAATCATAGGAGCTGGAGAGTTTTGCAGTTTCATTTCATCCAGGTTCTTGCTTTAAGCTCACAATCAATATGAAAATTAGTCCCAGTTAAAGGTAGCCCAGTTGAAATCTCCATTTTTCTTCTCTGTTAAATTCTATTGTCGTGGAGGCTTAGTCACCACCTCCAGCTGTTGTCCATTACCTGCTTTCAATGACCATCCTTGATGTGAGCCATTCAGCATTTGGGCAACTGTGTCCTCAGTTCTAAGTCACTGGACTCAAAAAAATAACTGTTTCTGCCTCCACAGATACTGCCAGATCTGCTGAGTTTCTCCAACATTGTTAATGTGTCCTTGCGCCTTGTGTACATTTTCAGTCTCAGGTAGAGAGTGATGGGAACAGACACCCTGCCTCCCCACCACCACCGTACCCTGATTGCCTCTAATTTTCCATTTTTTACACTTGGGTAAAGAAAGAGCTAGGCCATTGAACCTAAGACCACCCAGATGTTTAGCTGCAGATATTTTCCTGAACAACCTGTTCAGAGATGTTATGACATACCTCTGGAGGAGGTGGGACTTGAACCCTGTCTCTGAGGTAGACACATTACTACTGTTCCACAAGAGCCCTAAAGCCTACTGCATCTGATATTCCTAGGCAGTCTCCCTCCAAATAATGACCAGACCTGAGTCTTCCAAGATCAAGCTAATTCAGACTAGTACAGCTGTGGATTTATTTTTAAATCAACCAGTTCAGACACATTATGGCACACCTTTGGGGCAGCTGGGACTTGAACCCAGGCTTCCTGGCGCAGAAGTTGGGACACGACCACTGCGCCACAATCATCCTTAGTGTTCAGTTGTATCCTTTTCTGAAACCTACTTTTCAAAGACGCATTATCATTAAGCTGCTAAGACTTGATGTAAACAAGGTCCATTCAGGATTATTTGTTAGCAGCAGTAATCTTATCGTGATTCTTTTTTCAACAGCACCTTTCTGAACAGTCCAAATGACCTTGAGCTTGTCATGGCAGAATAGATAGTTGAGATCTCCAATTGTGAGCCAGGCCCAGTCTCTCATCTGCAAACCTTTGTTGCAAAGAATCCAGTGCTGTGACCCACCTGTCGTGCTGCATGTTTGGAGTCCTAAACTTAGCAAAAGACTGTTCAATCCACATTGTCTCTGTAGACCTTTGCAGCAATGCAGTTGGTCACACTACCCTTACTCTTTTCCCCCATAGTCCTGTATTTTCCTCCTCTGTCATCAATCCAATTCCTGTTCAGAAAATACTATTGAATCTGTTTTCACCAGAGCACTCCAGGCCTCCACAACTGACTGTGTAGAAATAAACACCCCACTCCCACCCCACTCTGCATCTTTTGCCATTATTTTAAATCTGTATCCTCTAATTCCAGACTGAGTGAATAAGAAGGTAGTATCACAAACACCAATATTTGGAATACACCAGTTAAATCTTTTACCGTTTTTCTCTTCTTCACCATCCCAGTTTCTGCATAAGTGAGGTATGCTATCCCTGACACCTGATAAATTCTGGTAAATATCTGAATTTAGTATGTTAGAGTCATACTGCACTGACTTGTCTTAAGATCCCATTGGCATTTAGGATAATTGAACTATATAAGGGGCCCTGAGGGCTCTGAACACAGGGCTGGATGCTGAGATTCTTTGTGGGGCATTCTAGAATGTGGGAACACCATCCTAAAAGAAGGGGTCTGCCATTTAACACTGAGATGCAGAAGAATTTCTCCAATCAGTAGGCAGTTAGTCTGTGGAATCTTTTTTTTCCTAGTAAGCAGTGAAGGCTGGGTCATTGAATACAGATTAGTAGAATCATGCTGTACAGAAGAGGCCCTTTGGTCCATTGAGTCTAAACTACCAAAACTACATTACTACCTATAGCAGTCCCACTTTCCCACACTAGGCCCATAGCCTTAAATGTTGTGATGTTTCAAGTGTTCGTCCAAGCACTTTTTCAAGGTTATGAGGTTTCCTGCTTCAAGTACCCTCCCAGGCACTGCATTCCAGGCCTTCACCACCCTCTGAGATGAAAAAGATTTTCTTCCAATCCCCTCTAACCCTCATGTCTTTCACTTTAAAATTATGCCCCTTGGATTGGAAACAAGGTTAGTTTTTTCATCAAGGGAGTCTAGGGTTATGGGCTGGGGGTGTATGGGGTGTTGGAGGGAGCGGATAGGAAAGTAGAGACCACACAATCAGAGAAGCCTTGATCCCCAGAATCAACTGAGCAGATTGGAGGGGCTGAATGGCACACTCTTGTTCCTGTTACTTTCTTGTATTATCTTCCAAATCTTTTCTTTCAAATGTACAGATTATTAAGATGTTTGAGAACTGGACAGCAGAGTGGGGTTCAATAAACATTTTTTCCTCTTCTTGAGAAGACAGATCGGCAAATCACCCAGACTCCAGGGTGGTAGGTCTCCCTTAGCCAGAAAATTCTGATTGAATGATGCGTCATGTACTACAATGTGTCAAGTTTAAACTAATGTCTTTTTTTTGTGATTTGGAGAGATGGAGGCATGGGGAGTGGAAGGAATGATGAAGAGAGCTGATATTAAACATCAACCAAACATAAAGTAATAGTTGCTGCTCCCCCAACCACCACCATCAGTCTATGTCCCTTGCCCCCTCTGTGTCTGAGCTATTTGGTAACATTGATTAGCAGCTCATGACTTCGCCAGCGGGGCTTTGAGAATGTCGGAATCTGATTCATTTTTCTCTTGCTGTGCTCAGTTCTGTGAATTGTTCCGGTGGGATATGCACAGAAAGCACAGTTTTACATTAGAGCTGTGATGACTGCCAAGCTCTGGTTTGTTGCTAAGTGCTGACTTTGACCTGCCTAAACAGGGGAAGATCTTGTAAACCAACAAGAATTGAGTTCAAGTCAATTAAACATTCAAAACATGTCTCTTTTCCCCAATGCTTCCTTGGAATTATTTTCTACTACCACCTCTTCCCCTCCCCCACTTCCTGCCTTCAAAAATCTTAACGCATTCTTGTGTGTTGTTTGCCCACCCCAAAATGGGTAAGAAGCATAAAACCCTGGTTAGGCCTTACTTGGAGTACTGTAAGCAGATCTGCACACCATCCTTAGGAAGGATATATTGGACTTGGATGAAATACAACATATATTTATGAGAATGATACTTGGACTTAAGGGGTTAAGTTATGAGGGGTGATTATACAGATAAGGCCTGTTTTCGCTAAAATTTAGAAGGTTAATGGGTGATATGATCAAAGTCTTCAAGATGTTAACAGGAAAAGATAGCGTAGATAAACACAATTCCTCTGATAGGTAATTCTAGAACTAGGGAATATTGTCTAAAACTTAAGACCAGACCATTCAAGAGAGATGTTAGGAAGCAGTTCTACAACAAAGGGTGATAGTTTCAAACCTCTATCTTCCACACATGGCAACTGTTAAAGGATAGGAGCCAAAGGCAGGTATATGGACTTAGGCCACAAATCAACCATGATCTCATTGAGTGGTGGAACACACGGGAGGAGCTGAATTGTCTACTCCTATTTTTATGTTCACAATTTATTTTGTAGGCAGAGCTGCCAGGATCAGTATTTTGCTGGTTTGTGATCCAAATCATTGTGGGAGCAGAGAGTTCCCTTTCTTGGTTTTGCAGCTGCCCCTTAGAAGGAGGCTGGGATGGTGACTGGCACGTCAGGCTGACCATAGGGCATAGAGATGGCCTTAGAAATAGGTTTGTCTACCCCATTTCTGATTCACCCTGTATAATCATGCAGCACAGGAGGTCATTTGGCCCATTGTGTCAGTGCTTGCTTCTCAATTCTTCCAATCCAAATTACTGCCACTCTTTACCCACACCCATTCAAGTATTTATCCAGTATCCTTTTCACTATTTCAACCCTTTGGACAGCAACTGATTTTTTACAATAAATTATCCCCAACACACCAGGTTCTTTTTGTCAATCGTTTTAAATCTGTGACACACCGACCTCTACAAAACCAACACTCCCCAAGAATCTGAGGCGCCATTCCATCAGCGTGAGGAGCCTGCGCGGTGAGTTAGTCCGCCTGCCTGCCCCTGAGACTGTTTGACTATGGGGTGCATCACACCCAGATCCCACCTTCAACTCTAATTTCTCAACGCTGTGTCCGCGAAAATCTGTTTGACCACTGATGGAGACTGGAAAGCCCGGTGGCTCACCTGACCTTTCATAAGCCTGGAGCAATTATGGGAAGCCTTTCAGCAGCTAGCGTGAAGTGAATGAGATTTTTTCAGAATCAAAGATTGAAGGATTGTATTTGAATTCGTTTTATTTTCCAAAGTGACTTGTTGCATGTGAGGCTGAAGCAAAAGGTTGTTTAATTATAAGAACAAATTCAAAACAAAACGTGTACTCTCTTGATCGAAGAGTGATCTAATTGAGGTGTTTAAGATTATTTTCAAGAGAGTTGACGACCAGAGAGATTAATTCTCCATGTGTTGGGAAGAATGGGAGACCAAAACAAGGCAACTTTTATTTTAAAACTAGAACCAACTGTTCATGATGTTTGGAAACCTTTCACACACAACGTTAGTGAACAATCTGAAACTCCAAGTACGCTGTTAATGCTGAGAGACCATTGAAATATACATGCAGGAGTCGATAGATTTTTAATTAGGGGATGTCGAAGTTGCACAGATACAAGACATGGATTAGCTTTAATCTGAATGATCAGAAGGCTCAATGAGTTGAATGACTTCCTCTGGTTCTTTTCAGCAATTGCCACTTTTGCTGTTTGTTATGTTACGCTTCGAGGTGTAACTCAGTTCAGTCTAAAAGCTTTTGGTCAAAACAACTGCGCCGTCACAGAGGAACTAAGCATTTCTCTTTGGATTGCTTGGGTTCCTCGTCTCCAGATCACCAAGGGAAAATGCCGAGACAGCGCAGTTCTGAAAGTGCCCTGAGGTTAAGTCCGGCGCGGGGGTTGGGTGGGGGCTGGTACAGTCATACTGTATTTCCCTGGTGCTGCAGGTGGTCCCCAGGTCTCGGAATTCAGAGAGTGCAGCAGTAGCTAGGCTTTGCCCATACAGCAGAATTCACCTCCTCCCCACCCAGGTTTGACTTCACCTGACGAAGGGTCTATGCTTCGAAAGCTTGTGATTTCAAATAAACCTGTTGAACTATAACCTGGTGTCGTCCCAGGTTTGGGCAGGGCTGCGTTGGAATCAGTCTGCAGCCCCTGAATCCTCGTGTGTGTTTGTATATAATCAGTATTTCCAGAAGAAGCATTTGTAAATTGTGTTACTGTGCTTAATTGTCACAAATAAAGTTTTTTTTGTAAATATTTGGATGTCTCCTGCTTTTGCTGTGAAACAGGATGAATTAAGTGTATACTGTACCCATACAAAAAGTTAGGGAATATTCCTTTTCAAAGGTATTTCTTCCTTCCATACCATCCATAGTCCAGAATCTAGAATTCCAGAAACCCTTTGATTAAGGTCTGCATATTCAAGTCTCACCAAATGCAGAGTTGTGTAGTAATGTCTCTGGACAGGATGATTAGAAATTAGTTTTTGTTTCTAAGTAAAGATTAGGTTTAAAGATACACTGGATCTTTGTTGGGGCAGTGGTAGCAGGATGCAAAGATGTACAAAGTGGAGAGTCCCTAGGATTAGTGCTGGGGGAAATGAACAAAGTGCATACAAGAGCAGGTGAGAGTTTGGGAATTCTGCAGTGAATAATTCTTTTTATGACTCCCCAAAGTCTGCCCACCATCTATAAGGCAAAAGTCAGCAGTGTGATGGAATGTTCCCCACGTGCCTGGATAACATTCAAGAAACTTGACACTGTCCAGGACAAAGCAGCCCTCTTGATTAGCACCACATCCACAAGCATCCACTCCCTCCACCATTGCTGCTCAGTAGCAGCAATGTGTACTATCTACAAGATGCACTGCAGAAATTCACCAAAGATCCTTAGACAGCACCTTCCAAACCCACAACCACTTCCATCCAGAAGGACAAGGCCGACAGATACATTGGAACATCACCACTTGCAAGTTCCCCTCCAAACCACTCACGGTCCTGATTTGGAAATATATCACTGTTCCTTCACTGTCACTGGGTCAAAATTCTGGAATTCACTCTCGAGTGGCATTGTGGGTCTGCTGCAGTTCAAAAAGACAGGTCACTACAAGCTTCTCAAGGGCATCTAGGGACAGGCAATAAATGCTGACCCAGCCAGCAACATCCGCATCTCACAAGTGAATAAAAAAAGAGTTGTAAAGGAATCTCAGACAAAAAGCTGCCCTCTGAACATTAGTGAAAAGATACCATGCTCCTATATTGTGAAATCATACTGAGGTCAATAACAGCTGCTGAAGTTGCACAACCCAAGTGGTGGGTGCATCATTTATTGGCGTTTGCCCATTTCTGTGATCAGGTGACAGTTTGCAGTGACTCATGCTGCTTGAATCCCACTGGTCAGGAGACCCTGAGACTGAGTGTTCACCTGGTGAAGGGCCAGACCCATATTAATAGTTGTCTACTGAGAGGCCAGTCCTTGGGAAGGGCTCTCTCTCGTGCTGTATTCCCTCCAGACTGAAATACCCGGTGATTGCATACAAAAACATGGTAATGGTTCCTCTGCATGTCCAGATATCAATTCATCAAAGAAAAAAACTCAACAGCCCAAAACCCCACTCAGGGAACTACATAAATACAATTGTCTCAATTTTAAAGGGACATTCTTAGGGATATAATAACATGGCCATCATGGAGACATCACTGAGGGAGCTTCATGCCTGGCGACTCAATATTCTGGTATAAAACATCTTCAGCTGAGACGGGGAGGGTATCAGAATATTGATCAAGGAGTCAGTTATCTGAGGGTGATAAAGAATGCTTTCAGATGGCTCCTCAATTAATGCCAAATGGGTAGAACCTAAAATACAAAAAGTGGATGGTCACATTGCTGGAAGTTTTACCATAGACTCCCAAACAGTCTGGGAGAAAGAAAATGATAGATACGTAACCAAATTTAAGAGATGATATAAAAATAATAGTGATAATAGTAGGGCATTGCAAATGTAACTGCAATAGGATAAAGTGCAAAAGGCTTAAAGGAGGCAGCGTTCTTAAAATCTGTACTGGAGGAGCATTTTAAACCAGCATGTCAAACAAGAGCGTGAGTTGTGTTGGACCCAGTTTTAGGGAACGAGGCCAGGCAAGTGGTAAAGTGTCAGCGGGGGACCATAACTCAGTCAGATCCAAGGTATTCAAGGAAAAGGACAAAGATGGACTGTAGTAAAAGTTCTGATTTAGGGCAGGATGTTTTTAATGTGATAAGACAGGACCTGGCCAAAGTGAACTGGGAGCAGCTACTTGTTGGAATATGTACATCAGAGCAGTGGGATCTTTCGAAAGAAAATAGTGAGAGCGCAGGGCCAGCATGTTCCTGTGAAGTTGAAAAATTCACTTCCTGAAAGAATGATAGAGTCAAGAACTATCACAACACTTTAAGAAGTGTTTAGATGATCGTTTGAAACCCACAGTGTACAAGGCTGTGGGCCAAGTGCTAAAAAATGGGACTAGAATAGATAGGTGCTTGGTGATCGGCATGAGCACGATGGGCTGAAGGGCATGTTTCTATGCTGTAAAAGTTTAAAATTCTAACACATGATTTCTTGCTGAACTTGGGCTTAGCCCTTCCAGCTAGTAATGAGCTGAAGCAGCGAAATACAGAAGAAACTTTGAGAGGGAAATGAGAGTAGTTAACTCTAGCTGTTTCAGTCTAGCTTCATTAATAGGCATTTATACCATCCACCTTAACCACTGTGACCATGAGTTTCTCCTGAATTCTTCGTTGGATTTATTTGTACTTATTCATAATTATAAGATTGCTTCTATACGGACTTGCTGACAAGCAGAAATGCCTCCTCCATGTCAATCCTATCAAACCTCGAACAGAACATCCTCTCTCAGTTTTCTGATATAAGGCTATAACCTTTCAGTTCTGGTGTCAGTTTTATGAATGTTTTTTGTGGTTTCTTCAATGCTTCTATATCCGTATTGCAATATGGAAACAAGTACTGCATAAAGTACTATCAACAAGATTGAAAGTAAGTGGCGCATTTTGTTGCAATTTATGAGTATCTGAATATATGAACAAGGAGCAGGCATAGGCCATTCAGCCCCTTGGCCAGCATTCAATAAGATCATGGCTGATTTGATTGTAACTTCAAATCTGCATTCCCACCTGAAACTACTTGCCAGGAACCAATCATAGTTACTATGCTGAATTCCCCAGGGCCCTGACAGCAGGTCAATTGAAAAACACATCAAAAGTGCCGTACACACACACACAAAAACATTCTCTCTCTCTCTCTCTCTCTCTCTAACACTATCCCAAACTGCTTGAATAGGACAACATCGCAGATCCAATTCAAAATGTGCTCCAGGAACTTTGTTTTTAATCTGCAACATTTTCTTCCACAGTTTCCTTGGTTTAAAGAGTTTCCTTTTCCCATTTTCAGTCCACAATCCAAAAAGATGGAAGTGATCCTTACATCCTACTCTTTTAAACTCCTGTGGGTACAAGCCTAGCCTGTCCAAACTTTCGTCAAAAGGCAGCCCACTCATTCCAGATATTAGTCTGATAAACATTCTCTGAATGGCTTCCAACATATTTACACGTTTCTTTAAATAAGGTGAAAAACATTCAGATGTGGTCTTACCAATGCTCTGTATAAGCCTCCTACTTTTACATTCAATTGTCCTCACAATAAGTGATAACATTTTGTTAACTTTCCTAATTACTGGCTGCACCTACACACTAATTTCTTATTATTCATATACTTAGACATCCAGATCCTCTTGAATCTCAGAACTCTGCAATCTTTCACCATTTAGATAATATGCTTTATTTAAAATTCCTCCTGTCAAAATGGACAATTTCACATTTTCCCAGATATTCTATCAAAGTAACAAAATGTCTGAGGACTGTGGGCTGTGTACCACAGCCAGATAGGAAAACAAAAGACAATTTCTAAAATGGCAGTACTGGGGATAGGCATATATAAAGCAGACTGGTAAATTGAATAAATTGGTATCACGCACTGGATGGTGCACTTGGGTTTTGATGACCAGCTTTTTCAATGCCTGTGGAAAATCAATGCGAAAGGCTAGAAATAGCTTCAAGGCATCAGATGACAATGGGATTCTATGTAGTATCTGTGCATCCTATAGCCAAGTTACCAAAACCTCCAAATATCAATAACTGGCTTTTGGATGTGATGTAAAACTGAAGTCAGTGCTTGCCCCTGTGTAAAAGGTGGGTGTAAAAGATTACCTTTGTCCAAAGCAAAGCAGAGGAGAGCTTTCTGGGTCCCAGCCAATATCAGTTGATGACACCTGCTCATCCTCAAACTCCCTGTTGTGGGAACTTGCTGTGTACAGACTGTCTGCCATGTTTCCTGCATCTCAATATGGACAACAGTTCATTAAGTACTTCAATTGCTGTAAAGCACTTTGAGACATCCTGGGGTCAGAAAAGTTGCTGTATAAATGCAAGTCTTTCTTTTTGTACTGATGGCTGTTGAGCTTCAATCTTTGCTGTTAGTTTGCCCAGTTTTCAGTTAACTTCAAAACTCAATCTTGCTGCTATGGAGGCCTATGTTGACCAGAGCTTTGAACATTGAGCGGTGAGACCATTGAATCATGCAAAATTCTTAAACAGCTTGACACAATAGAGGCAGGAAGAATGTTTCCTGTGGCTAGGGAGGATTCTAGAACTGGGAACACTGCCTCCAAATAAGGAGTTGGCTACATAAGACTGAGATGAGGAGAAATCTTTGAAACTCTCTAGCTCAGGAGACTATGAAGGACAGAGATCAATAGACTTCTAAATGCTAATAACATCAAGGGATATGGGGATTGTGTGGGAAAATAACATTGTGGTAGAAGGTCAGCCATGATCTAGTTGGATGATAGGGCAGGCTCAAGGGGCCAAATGGCCTGTTCCTGCTCCTGTTTCTAATGATTATCTCACCTCCAAGTCAAAAAGTTGTGGGTTTGAGTCTGAACTGAGAATGTTGCTGTGTCAGAGGTGTCATCATGTTAAATATGAAGCCACGTGAAAACTGAGATCTCTCTGCTTTTTCGGTTGATGCAAAAGAACTTTCTCCTTTGTTCAGAAGAGCAAGGGGTTCTCCCTGGGTCGCAACTGATACTAATGCCTCAAACAGCAGCAGCATCTCATGGCTGTTGGTGGGAGATTGCTGGGCATAAATGAACTGCTGCTATTCCAACATTACAGCAGTGAACACACTTCAAAAAGTACTGT